AAACCAAATTGGTAGGACAGTTTCAATAATTAACATATTGCATACATTCTTCTTAGTGGTTAATTGCTGTACAAGATGCGGACATATCTTATTTACAAACACCATTAGAACAAATCCCTCTATTCATTAAGAGAATGTAACTATATATCTATCCTAATCATTTTGAATACACAGATATAAAATGGACATTCATCTGTATCCCCTTTTTTTGTTTAGTTCCATTATTTGAATATTATAGGTATGTTAACTCAACAAAGTATTCTAAAAGAGTCCAGTAGTCCATAATAGTATTGGGTCTTCCGCTTCACTGGCAATGTCAGAAATTGTTGACCTGAGTCCCCCACAGCTCAACGTAGCAGCACGGCTTTACTTCCTATATTTCGTCTTCATACTTTTCTACTGGATGGTTAAAACCAAGGTAAAGCAGGACCTATGCAACAAGAGTTGTAGCTTTTGGGTCTGATAAGGTCAGTAAAATCCCCTCAGGATTTATCATGAGATCCTGTACCTCAGATTGTAGAACCGTTGTCAGTGTCGGCCATGTGGTTGAGTCACGGCCATTGCTTGGCCAATGTGCTCTCTGTGAAAGCTTGAGAGAATGTTTTCTCTCCATGTGACTCTCTTTAGGCACACTCTACATCATCGATCACTTTCCTCTTTGGCCCCATAATCTCCTTGATCAGAAAATTTGGGACACTACCGAGTTACATGATGTTACAGTACAAGTTCTCATATGTCCTGAGTCTTAATTGACCTTGGAAGGCTAGGGCCAAAATGTTGGCTTTCCTTGCAGCCCTCCTTTTTCTCTAATTTTGTTCTGCAAACTTAGGTTGTTAACCCTCCAGAAGACAAGCTTGTTGTTATTACCATACAACCTAGGCTGTTAAGCTTAACCTCACTATCTGTCTGCATATCAAACATCTTCGGCATAACATGGAACAGGTATTTTTCATCAAGTATTGATATGTTGAACTTTAAGCCCCTAGAGAATACGATGAAAAAACATTTAAAAATTAGAAGAATATATTTTAAAAAATAGACATAAAGAATTATATAATTCTTATGTTTACACATAAGTCCAAAAATCTAACCATATACAACTTTGAAGCAGGACAGTCCCACAACAGTCCTTTTCCTGTCTCTTGCCTTCATGCTGCTATCTCTTCTTGAATTGTTCCCTTTACAAGGATGTAGTGACCTTTCTCTCAGTCAGTCTTGGTTTGAAATTCTCATTGTCTGCAAATAACATGGCTACCCTGCTTTTTTCTGAGTTCCTGTTGTGTGGAGCATTGCTTTCCATCCTTTAGCATCCAGTCTATGAATTTCTTTTTTAATTAAATAAGTTTCTTGTATGTAGCATATAATTAGATCTTGCTTCTTGATCCATTCTGCCAGTATGTCTTTTGATTGGAATTGAGACTATTAACATTAATGTTTCTAAATGACATATATTGACTTATCCTTGTCATGTTATTTTCCTTTTATTGGCTTCCCCTCTTTTTTTCCCTCCCCATGTTTTAGTTGTTTGTCTTGCCTGCTGGATTCCTTCTGTTGAGGTTCATGGAGTTGTGGTCCTTGTTATTATTTTTTTCTTTTTTTTAATTTAGTACAGTGTCTTACTACATTGATCAGACTTGTAGTGATTCTCCTGTTTTCAGCCTCCCAAGTGCTGTGATCACAGGCATGCGCCACCAGACTCAGTTTCAGTGGCCCTGTCAGTGGCCCTATCAGCGTGCCCCAGGGCTAGCTTGACACGCAGGGGGTCGAACCCTAGCCGCTGTGCTCTGCCTAAGTAGGTGCTTTAGTCTACTGAGCTATCTGGCTGGCCCTTGAGAAATTCTGATTTCATTTTTTTCTAGAGCCTCAATTAATGTGTTGTTATCACTTCAGAGCAGTCAGGTGGGTGGCTTTCAGATTGTCCCACTTCGCTGACTTTTGAGATTTGCTTTTGGTGAACTGGATGTCTGGGGTTGCATCATTTTTTTTTTAATCTTGTTTTTCTTTTTTTTAATGTATTTGGTTGTTGCAGGGTCTCACTACGCAACTTGGACTCAGTGATCCTCTTTGTTTTTAACCTCCCCCGTAGTGGGATTATAGGCTTATGCCATTATGACCAGACTCTGGCTGGCTCAGACTTCCCTGGGGCAGGGCTGGTGTGGCAAGTAGTGCTAGGGTCGAACTGCGGTCCCTGTGTTTGCCTAAGTTTGCTTAAGCAGGTGGTTTAGTATGTTGAACCATCTTTTTTTTTTTTTTTTTTTTTTTTTTTGGTGGTACCGGGGATTGAACTCAGCCCCTTGTGCTTGCCAGGGAAGCACTTAATCTACTGAGCCATCTCCCCAGCTCCTGTTGAACCATCTTGCTGGCCACCTTTTTAAAAATTTTTATTTAAGTGTCTTATTTTGTTTTGTTTTTAGTTTAATTTCAGGGGTGATGCTTGTAAATTGCCCTTAGTAGGTTGCTTTTTTGCTAGTATTTGGAACCCTATGGAAAGGACTGCTTCCATGAAGTGTCTTCTAGGTGGGGCTAGTTTGTAGGGGTTTGAGTCTGTTGCATGATTCTGTGCATTCAAGTTGTTGAATGTAAGAAGCTGCTGCCTGTTTGGCCCAGCTACGACATCCTTGGCACTGGCCACAGTATTTTCTGTGACCCTTAGTCAATTTCAATCTTAGAATACCAAGAATAGCTGTTTAGAGCACTTATGTCACTTTTGGCTAAAGTGGTACCATCAGCAGTAACAGCAAGAAACAGCTTAGAAAATGACAGACCGAGGTAACCATTGATTTGCCACCTTTAACCATATGAACTCGGTTTGTAGTTATGTAATAAAATCTAAATCAGACTAGAAAATTATATCTAGTGTATAAGTCCTTAAAATATCAGTTTTACCCTCAGGGGGTTAAAATTTTGAAAGGCTTAGGGGAAAAAACAGAGAAGTAAAAGAACAGGAAGAAATTAGAAGGGAGACTGGAGGACGAAGGGGGTCATGCTAATTTTAGGCAACTGATGCAGAAGACTGGAGGAGAAAAGAAGGAAGAGGTGAAAAGAACAGAGCCGCCAGCTCAGACAGGCTAGAAACCACGTTCATACTCGTATAAAAGAAGATCAGACATTGGAAGGCCAAAGAACAAAAACAAAACTGCCACAACAAAAAGTTAATGATGGGGGAAAGGAGGTCCCCTTCCAGGTTTGTCTCTGCTGTCACTGGTAGAGGGTGGGGAGACAAAGTCCAGATCCATGCCAGTCTATCCCAGCAAGGGCTGGGGAGCTAGCTCAGCAGGATAAGCTGCCTGGCAAGCGCAAGGTCCTGAGTTCAATCCCTGGTACCAAAAAAAACAAATCCCAGCAAGCCAGTAATAGCTTTTTGGTGGGGTAGTGGATAATCTCAGTGAGCCTGCACCCTCTGGACAGATCAGACTCACTTGGTATGCAGCCATCAGAGCACCTTCCCCTGGCCTGATCCCAGCTGGGAGCCGCTAGCCGGAACCAGCCCTTGCTCTGAGTTCTGAGCCGAGCTGGCCCTTCTCCAAGATGGCTACCAGCCAGTCGCTCTCTCGTGTGGGTGACTAAGTCCTCAGCACTCACCCTCGTGTGGGTGACTAAGTCCTCAGCACTCACCCTCGTGT